TACAACAAATGTCTTTCTCCAAGTACAAGCATCATCTGCATCCCCAACACGTTTACATGGAGGAAGCAGCAGTAAACACTGTGTACACGTTCTCCATCGTTTCCCAAAACACAAACTGTCCAAACAGCTGGATAAACCGATTTGTCTTTCAGATGTGATCTTTGAGGCAGTCAATCTTCACTGGAATTCACAAACGACCTGATCCAGGTTTTGTGGTGTTTGGACAGTACAATCTCTTGCTGATGTTGGTTGTTAAAGCTTTGGAATGGATTTGCTCTTCATGTCTGAATATAGACTGAGGACCAGGCTGCTGAGTGGCCAAATTGAAACATGTTTTCATTACACTTGTGTCCACTTATACATAATGCATGTGGTGTTGAGCTATACTAACACATACAGTATGTTATACCTAAACAAAGCACAGAGACTGTCACACTATTTGTTCAGTTTACTAAAAGGGGAAATCCTTGGCTTTCACAGTAAGTTTTCTTTTTGTGAGTGCAGTTAATTAGAAAACACTGAGAAATCCATGAATTATTTTGGAGCTGAACTGATAATTCAATTACACATTAAACATTTTTCCACTTCACATGGAAAAATCAAATACTTTTTTAACATTCAAAAATTAATTTGGGAGCAAGTTGTAGTTATAATGTAAGTTTTCATTATTTTAATACATTTTTCTGAAAAGATTGAAGATTAAAGGTGAAATGAATAGTCGGTGAGCAGAAATTAATACAACTATTGTTTAAGAACCCATTCTTTCAAGCAAAAATGCCAAACAATTGCCAGCTCCACCTGAATCAGCAGATTATTGACACATAATATAATAGTTGGTGCTCTAAATTCTTGTAAAAGAAGTTCTGATGTGATATCACAACTCTGAATTTAGGAAATGCTGTTCAGGCTAAACATCGTCTCTACTATTCAGTATAAAACTTACTTTTTAATATTTAACAACCTCTTGACCAAAACAAGCATTTCTTTGAGGCTTGCATATTTACCATTTTAAAATGGCTGTGTAGACATTTCTTTACAGCTGCAAAAACTACTCCACATTAAGTGTTCCCTTTACCATCAAGGGCAGCAACACTGCAGTGTCTCCTCCAAAGAAAATACTGTAATCTAGTTCACACTAATTAAAATCCACGATGAGATGCTTACCTACAGAATTTTACAGCAATGGAAACGGCATTGATACCAGTAACACTCAAAGTTAAAGCACATCTATTTCACGACTGACATCACCTTGTCCCACTTTTTTTTTTTTTTTTTTTTTTTTTAAATGAGGATCCAGCCCCGTTTCATTGTAACAAACAACAACAATAAACAAGAGCAACAGTAAGCAGATTAAAATTCAATGAAATATTTATCCTGCGTCTTTTTAATACGTTTTAAATATGAAATAGTAGGCCAACATTAGACACACATTAAACCAGTGTGTTTTTCTGATATTCAGTTCTTTTATGACCTATCCAGCAGAATGTGGCTATGATAAACCCCATTGGTCATTTACATTTCATACATTGCAACAGTCCTCACCAAAGCTCTGTCCGGATTTAATCACAAAGGCCTTTCTGTATGTACTCTGTCTGAATGCCAAGTTGCAACTGCATTTTCCTCGTGTCTGCATTCTCACGTTCAATCACATCATATGGTGTGTAGTAAACATACCATTATCAGAAACATACCATTATCTGAAATTGATGTTTTTGGAATGGTTTTCTTTTTAGACAAGGGTGAGAAGTGAAATGTGTGTTTGCTACGCAGGTGTTTGGCATATTCCTCCTCTAGAAGTCGGTTGTCCCACGTCGAAGCTTAAAAAACGTCTTGTTTTGCTTTATTCTGAATTTGAAGCAGTCAAGCAGTAATACTGTTCACGATTTGACAACCCATAACAAGTTAACGAGCGCTCTCGGCGGCGTCTCTCAGATAAAGGGATGAACTTCTGCTGAACCTCTTCCGCGGAGGTAACCGAGGGGTTCTTGAAATTACCCGGTCTAGTCTGGTGCAAGTCAAACAAATGAAAGACATCTGAACTTTTGTTTCACATGGTGCTTTCATCTCTGTCAGAATGGGGAAAAAAAAAAAAAAGACTCTCTCACAGTGAGAGACTGCTGAGCTGCTCTTCATTAGTTTCAAAGAGTCCCATCTGAGAAGTGTACTTTTACACAAACCTGCCTTAGAATGGAGTAGTAGAACATAGTGGCGTGTACTTGTACTGCTTAGGTTCCCATATGAAACTAAAAGTGAATAATCACCGGAAAGAACAAGGCTTCAAAACAAAACTTAAAACATCACCTCCTCGCAGCTCCCATAATCGCTCTCCACAATGCTCGACTCGTCATAGCTGCGCGGGTTCTGTCCTGCTTGCCGCGTTTGAGGCTGAGCGGAGTTCGCCGGCGGCGGCGGGCTGGCCTGCTCTGCATACGATGGCATAGCCACACTCAGACGCATGCTGAGTCTCTTGTATCCTCCCGAGACGTTATCGAGGCTGCGGGTGTGCTGCGTTGGGTAATAGCTGATGGCGGTGTACTCGTTGGGCACTGGGAGCTGGGAAGAGGAAGCCCGTCGGGACCCAGGAAGTCGTCCAGGTTCTGGTTGCTGTAGCAGGGCGGTAGGGGAGCGCGACGGTCACAGCGATCTAGCGGGAACGGGAAGCCACCGAATCGAGAGTTCCTCCGCGAGTCCATGGTGGAGGTGGAGTAGGTGTCTTCTACGATGTCAAACTGAGGGAACTCCTGAACTGCTGGGCGGCCATAGTAGTCTGGGTCAGCTGGATAAACTGAGGAAAGAAGACCGTAAGAAAAACATCAGAATAATTTGTCCTGATACGTTCTTTAGATCTCCTAGTTTATCTGTTGGTCGTCAATTTGCTATGAAGGATCCCAAGTGCATTGTACACACATTATTAGGAATTATGATGTAGTGCTGATTAGTCACTTATTCTATTGACACACATTTGTGTAAAGCTTTTATTAAACATAAACGAATACTTAGATGAAAGACATTTGTATTAGATTATTGAGGCCAAAATGGATATTGATATTTGTTATATGTTGGCTGATATTATTATCATTTATAATTAAGACCGAGCCTCCAGGGTTTGAGAAGTGAGGTTCCTTAAATCTGCATTCTAATGAACGGCCAGCAGGGGGCGACTCTTCTGGTTGCAAAAAGATGTCCGGCTCCACTAGAAATAATAGCAAAATGACCCTATTTCTCATCTGATTTATTACCTCAGTAAACACTTTCATAATGGGTTTATGGTCTCAATCGCTAGTTTTATATCTTGTTTAATACAACATGATGTTCATTTAGTAAATTATGGTCCCATTTAGAGGAAAATAGACCATAAAGCAGAGGATGCTTCAGGGCAGGATTATCTTGTTAAGTTGTTACTGTGTAAATTTAACCAGCGCTGTTGAAAAAGCTTATTAGGAGTTGTCTGTTTGCTTTCTCTAGTGAGTACATTTAGTTTTAAGCCTGTTGTTCTCTACCAAAAATTGTCACCCCGGTTAAAATGACAATTAACGTGAATTACAGATGCATCTTGCTAACAAAGCTAGCTCCTCATGGAGTTATTGGCATCACCATCTCGTCCAAATATGGTGTAGTCCGATGCCGCTGGTCGCAAAAAATCAACGGCCAAACTTGAGGCTTCAAAACTGCAGTCCGGAAACCAATGGATGACGTCACGATGACTATGTCCACTACCTTTAATCAGTCTATAGATATGGCAGTGTGTTCTTGAGTCGGAGGAGCCTCTGAGTCCCGCCCACACTGAAATACTGACGCAGAAATCAGAAGCGGTAAATGACACCAAAACATAGCAGCATAGTTTTTCCTGTTCCTTAATCTTAAATGCTGTGGGATTTTTTTTTTTTTGCATCCGCACTTTGGCATATTCCACATATTATATCTCCCGTTTTATAGTTGATTAAATTTTTATTGTCAAATAGTATCCAGTATTTTCCACAACGCGGAAATCATCCTACAAATGTAGTAAGTGGGACATTTAAAGTAACTTTAATAAATCGGCACATATTTGTTCATACAATATATCTGCAATAATATAGAATCTGCTGGTATATTGGCCTGGCAGAATTTTTGGTCTAGCTCTTTGGATAATTATATTCTAAACTCACATTTGCTTTGCACAACCTCATAATCTACAAATAGCAACAAAATGCATTTTAGGTAAGATTTTCCCGTGCTTAAAGAATCGACACTTTTGTATGCAAGTGTTTCTGCAAGTTCACCACTTGGTTTTAAAAAGCTGCCACAGAGTCAGATCAGCTCTCCGACTCAACAAGCAACTTTAATCATTCACTTATTATCCCAGAAAGATTAATACTAATACACCCTGGGGCAGGTTGCTGTGTGGGATGTCCAGGATGGATTTGAGCAAGACGCGCGGGGGGGGGGGGGGGGGGGGGGGGGGGTTAAGAAGGCTCAGACTATTTGCATTTTAAATCCTTCACTGTGGATTTGAAGAGATTTGGGTTTGACTAGTTTAACAGGAGGTGGGGATGTGTCTAAAGAAAGCTCATAAAGTCACCACATTTACTTTATACAAATGACTGATCCAGACTTCTAATGACTGCAGAAGTAGGATAATCTTCTCCTCTTGGGTCAACTGAATTACAATCAACTAACATTAACAATTCAAGGGCAACCTTGATGATAAGCTCCTCCAGCTTCTTCACCATCCCAGTGTGTGCACTTAACACACTTTATCACTTTAATATTTTTCTGAAACTAATTTCAAGTCCCCAACCTTGAAACAATTATTTGATGATAAAACCTGCCCTTTTCGACGTGCTAATCCTGAATAAGAAGTTTAACCCAGCATACTTTTTAAATCTTCTTCTGCGGTTTTGACAACAGGAGTGTGGCAGGTGAACATTTGTTTTTCTATGTTTGATCGTGGAGGACAAAGCTTGTTGACAACCTTGCAGTGATTCATACTTCACTTATTTCCCTTCCCTCAGAGTGTTATCTGTACACATGACAGTGTTCTTTGTGCACTGAATCATTTGTAGTTGCCGATGTGGTCAAAATCAGCATTGTTCAATGCGTCAGTGAGGGAGGTAGTAAACATGCCGTTGGTACTTGAACCCGTTGACACATACCTGCCTGTATTCATGAACATAAACTCAGTCATTCTCAAGTGGCTATAACACATCCACCACTGTGTCCATGAGAAAGACACTTTACCCCTAGTTGCTCCACAGGTGTGCAACATCTAACATATATAGCAATTTAAGTCGCTTTGGATAAAAGCGGCAGGTAAATGAATAAATGTACATGTAGACAGAAATATTTGCAGCAACTGTTTTGATAATCGTTTGATCGATAGTGAGTAATGGTTTTAATTATTCAAGCAAAGTTTGTTTGTTTCAGAATCTTCAATGTGAGAATTTGCTTCTTATCTCTTGTTTGAACCTTTGATTTAGGGCTAAACCATTTGGGGAAAAAATCTAATCTGATTTTTCTGCCAGATATTGCGATTATGATTTGTTTTGTTTGTTTTAAGTATGTATGTATGTTTAGCCAAAGTTCAATTTCACTGCCAGTCAATTTCTGACGGAAGCCTCGTCAAGCAGCACAGAGCACATGTACCAGGAAGGAAGTCAGACACAGAACGGCATAGAGAATCTGGTCGATTTTCATAATCAGACGCCCTGTGCAGACTCCCGGTCGTATATATCAACAATAAACACAACAAAAAAAGAAACAATTTAGCTGACTTAACCATGGTAGAAGCACAAAAATCAAGGACAACTGAACAAATGATCAAAATCTGAACAAGTCGGCAAAACACTCTTATTCTGAAACGCTCCATGTGGGAAATGAAGCCTGCAGAGAGCGGAACGGAACATGTCTGTTCAGCTGACGCCATTATGCCATGTTATCCTCTAGTTTCGTTTGTTGTTTTAAAATGTACACGCCCTGTGCCCGCTGATTGGTGAGTAGGACCACAACATGAGGCGCATGGCGCTTGTGATTGGCACACAAGGATGACAACGGAATGAATTTGTAATTGCATAACTGTTTAAAACGGGTCAGATGCTCTGTTTAATTAACCTTCATTTTAATCACCGTCTTCACGATTAGCTAATCGCGTTCTTTCAAATCGCACTTCCGATTTGAAAACGATTAATCGTTCAGCCCTACTTTGACTGGACAAAAATAAAGAGTATGAGAAACTGTGGTAGGCATTTTCCCCCCCAACTGATTATTTTGGAGTGTTATTCGGACATTTTACACATCAAACAATTTATTGACTGGAACAAATGAATGGCATCACATGTGGCATCACATGTGGCAATAAGCTTAATCATGCTTACTATCTCATCTGTAAGATGTTTGAGAACATCTGTCCAAGGACACGCAAGCGCACACACTTACACAAGTCATTACTTTGTCAAATCTGCATAAATTAACTATTTTGTCCAACAATAGAACCCAATACATTCAACAGATGTACTGTATCACCATCTGTCAAGAAATTGCAGTACTGAAATGCCAGAAATATGTTTGAGGTCCTTTTAGAAAACGCTGTCTCCGTTACATAGTTCTTCCTCTTGAGAGCACTGACAAACTGTAAAATGTCACAGTACATATCTGGGTCACAATTATTTAATAACTACATTTAAGCAACCCTAATCAAATATGTTTCTATTCTATGAGTTTATGAGGAACTGTATTTGTGAAAATAAATATATCGCCCTAAAGAATCCATTAAAAATCCATTAGTTAGGGCTCTGATACTGGGTTAATAGTATTTTTACAAAAATCATTGACAATTGCAGAGTTTATAAAGAAGTAGCTGAAATCTTAATATCTAACTAGGTAACTGTGGAGTGTTGAGTACTAGTTATAAATAAATAAACATCACCAACTGATGTTATTAACAATAATTTAGCTACAACTGGGTGTTGAATCTTCAAGAGGTGGTATTATGCTCATTTTCAGGTACAAAATCTTATTTAGGAGTTGTACCAGAACAGGTTTACATGGTTTCATTTTCAAAAAACACCCTAAACAGCTCCTCTTTTCACCCTGTGTTGAAGGCTTCGTTTTACCTATGGAGTGATGCATCTTGCCTCTACAACATCTTTGTTGGGAGTTGCACGTGCGCAGTTCCTAGTTAAGGACTACTAGCCAATCAGAAGCAGAGAAGGGCGGGCCAATGAGAAGCCGGTAAACACGGCTTCGTTTCAGCTGTACATGTTGCCGACCAGCTTGGCAACATGGACTGGAGCAACAAATGAGTCTTCCATCTATAGAGTTTTAACTGAGCTCTGTCTCTACATCACAGGAACAGCTTTATGTCCACTGACTGTGTATTTTAGTAGCTTTGATGTAACTAAGCTACTTTTGCCACGTTGCTGTAGCTTAGCTTGCTACATTTCACTGGGGGGTAGCTTCTATGTAGTTAAGCTTCATTTAATATAGAGTAGCTAGTATCTTAGCTCACTACATTTCCCAGGTAGCTTGCCCAACACTGCCTATTACATGCACAAAAAAGCATAATACCACCTCTTTAATACTTTTGTTTACCTGCTAAAAATTCTAGCAAATTCTGTAGCATCTCCTTTGTCAGATAGATAGTGATTTAAAACTTTTTTGTGTGTGTTTTAACATTTATAATCGTAAAAATATTGTAAGGTATTAAATTAAGTATCTTTTTGTATCGGTATAGATGCTCTGGTATCATATCGCCTATTCGCTCAGCTGCCACTGTTTGACTCACAGGAAGCACCCTGCAGCGATGAG